ATGCTAGGAGTTGTGTATTGTTGTGGAGGACAATTGTTTTAAAACAACAATAACATAAAAAATAGCGTCTGAAGGTCACACACGAGGACATGAGAAGGTTCAACTAACCATTCATATGTTCAGGCAGATAAGAGCTCCATTTAAGAAAGGGTAAGACACTGCTGTTAACGGCGAGTTGTGTCATTTGTGATCATTACGAGATGCTTGTTATAAGTAATTCCTGTACATGTCTCTCTTTACTACTCTAGTTCCGAAACGTGCTGCAGCTAGCCGGGTCTATAACTCATCATCTTCACTGGGTGTTAAAGGTCAATATCAGTATTTATAATGAACGAACGTTTATTACAATTATACACCTTTTACCGATCAAATAATCAAGATAGAAAGTTCAAAAGTCAGCAATGAAAGCTTAAGTATCAAAGTAGTAGGGATAAACTCCTCTGGTATAGCAGTTAGGCCCTTTTTGGGTTTAATTAGAGATTTTACGGCGCTTGCAGTTGCATAAGATCATATGAGCGCCAAGAGGTGGATGTCAACAGAGACGACCTTACAGGGAATCAGGCTTACTCTGCTCACCTCTCTAGCTTCAACAGTACAAAGTCTGCTTCGACTATCAAGGCACCAAGGAAATAGCTGGTCACAAGAGTGTGATAAACATACAAAAGAAGTAGAGGAAAAATGGCGATAGTAAGGATTAGAAAAGAAACCTTTGCTGTCGCACGCAATGTGGACCGATGAGTGTGAATTTGGGTAGATAGGCCATATAACTATGACAGAGTGTTCAACGGCATCTAGTGACCGTAAGCAGTGGTGGGGCCATTCCGCCTCAACCTCAGAGCTAGAGATGACATCTCCGAGTATCAGGCAGTACACCCGAGTTCGATTCCAACGTGAGACTAATGTTTACCAAGTATCTGGGTTTTTCTGATGAAAGTGAAATGGTGTCTTCCCTCTCAGCGCGGGTTGGTCCCGGACAGACAGGCTTGGAAATCCGATTCCTTATTGATCTAAAGTGTGTTGATGGGTAGGAAAAAAATATAATGCATAACGTTTAACCCTATCCGTATGTCGTGTTTTACTATCGTATCCATACGACGTGGGGAACTCTGTGCCACCACTTTCAAAGAGGAAATTTACCCGTTAATCCGATCAGTACGCTTTGCATAGCAGTCTGTCAAAATTATTTTTTGGGAAATACTGAAAGTTTCAAAGACATTTTCGTACTAAAAGTATTCTAAAATGTGAAGAATACAACCCCGGGGGTACAAAATAACCCCAGGACGTACGGATAGGGTTAAAAGACTTACTCGTAGACAAATTTCAGCTTGTTGCCTGGGGCAAAGACAGGGCTGTCAAAGGAGGTCACGGGAAACAGGCCACATATCTTCCTGTACTCGTTGTATGGTGCAAGGCCATGGTCGCGACCTCGCTGGGTGTTCAAGGACACGAGGTCAAGGCCATCCTGAAAGAAAGTAGAAAGGTAAACAGAAAAAAATGCAGTGTGTGAGGAGTTTTCTTTTGTTTCGCTTTTTGTTATCTTGTTTATTTGTCTGTGTGTTTGTGTGTTTTGTTTGTTTGTTTGTTTGTTTCTCTATTTGTTTATTTGACATTAAACACCAGGGCAAAAGCAGAAACCCACCGATGTTTACATTTCTCTGATGTGAAGTTAAACTTCATTATACATAAACAAAGAATAGAAAAAAAATCCGCCACATAGTCGGGAGAAAAAACTGCCAAATTTCTCATTTTTAATGTTGGCGTGATTACTTATTATTACTCAAGTGAAAGGAAAACCTTAAAGACTCAAAAGACTACATTTCCTACACAATCAAAATGTGGTACCTTTTTTTTTTTAAATCGCCATAAAATCTTCTAAACACTCTCTCAACACCTGCAGAAAAGAAAATTGCAG